CACCAACTTGTGATCCTGCATCTAGTTGTAAGCTTCCGGATTTAAATCCACTTTCCAAAACACACTCTAGCAGTTCTGATACGCTTTACAGACTACTCCAATCTCAGTCCATCTCACCTTGTTCATCATTCAGTAATCTACCACATTGTCAACTTGAGGCTGATCTTACTACTCACCAGTTCCCTAGTGCTCAACCTCCTATTCACTGAATTCTCACCCTATGACACAAGATCCAAAGTTGTTGCTGGTCATGACAATGTGCCTGTGATTTGTTGGATTGGTGTTACTTACAACCAGTCAGTTACCTATAGATCAGAACCTGTGACAGTTGCTGAAGCATTAAATCTGCAGTTTGGAAAGAGGCTATGCAGACAGAATTTGATGCTTTAATTAGGAACAACACCTGACTTTATTGCTCCTACTACAGACATGAATATGTGGGTAACAAATGGGTTTCAGAACTAAATTGAATGCTGATGGTACTCTGCAGAAGTATAAAGCAGACTAGTGGCTAAGGGGTTTCAAAAACTCCTGGATTGGACTACTTCGAAACATTAGTCCAGTTATAAAACCATCTACCATCCGAATAGTTCTCCACTCGCAGTAACCAATGCTTGGGATGTTCAACAAATTGATGTGAACAATGCATTCCTTAATGGCCATTGAGTGAGTTAGTGTTTATGCGCAACCAAGTGGTTTTGAATCAGCTGCTCATCCTTCATGTTGTGTAAGCTGACAAGGCTTTATATGGCCTTAAACAGGCCCCTAGGATGGTTTGATAAACTAGAGCTGCCCTTCAAGACAAGGGTTTTCAAAACTCAATTTCAGATTCTAGTCTATTTGTTCTAAAAAATCATCAGGACTAATCTATGTTCTTGTTTATGTAGATGATATTTTAATAACTGGTTCTGAGCAGCCTACATTGCTCAGTTGTTGAGAGAGTTAAATGAGCATTTGCTTTGAAAACTCTAGGATCACTCAAGTATTTTTTAGGTCTGGAAGCAGTCAGGACAGTGTTGGCATACATCTCAGGCAGTCCAATATGCCTCAGATTTGCTTGTTAAAACTCGAATGATGGATGCCATTCATGCTCTACACCAATGGCTGTTGGTACTAAACTGAGGAGTGTGACAGTGATCCGTTTGACAACCCCACTTTATATCGCAGACAATTGGCGCTTTGCAGTATCTACACTAACAAGACCAGATATAGCTTCACTGTTAATCGTCTTAGTCAGTTTTACAAGCCCCAACTGAGTTACAATGGCAAGCATGTAAACGTGTTCTGAGGTATGTTAAAGGAACACTGCACTATGGACTTCAGTTTAAACCAGCAAGCTCCCTGAATATTGAATGCTATGCTGATGCAGATTGTGGGTAGCAATGTTGAAGACAGAAGGTCTACTAGTGGATATTGTGTTTATCTGGACCTAATCTAATTCAGTGGAGCTCTAGGAAGCAAAAAGTTATTGCACTATCATCTACTGAAGCTGAATACAGAGCTTAGCACAAACTGCCACAGAGGTTGCATGGCTTAAAGTATGTTCACTGAACTCAGTCTTCAAGTGCCCTCCAAACCTGTAATTTGGTGCGACAATACAAGCGCCGGAGCCTTAGCTTCAAATCCTGTCTTCCATGCCCGAACAAGCATATAGAAATAGATGTCCATACTAGGGAGCAAGTTCTTGCCAAGAATCTGACAGTTCAATATGTACCTCAAAATGCAGATTGGAGTATTGCCATCAGTTGCAACAGATTTGCAGTTGAAAGCAAAGAGTGCATAAGCTGTGTGTGATTGTCTTGAACCTCAGATGATTAAGCTGAAACTGCAAATAATGAACTGCAAATGAAATACTGTCTAAAGATGATTGTCATGGTTGATTACTGATTTGTTAAGCTTGATTTGCTGCAGTTGAAATGAAATTGCAGAACTGGAAAAATGCAGAACTGGAAAATGAGTTTTGTTTTGTGAAGTTTGGTTGATAAGGTAGTGTGAAGTTTGGTTGATAAGGTAGTGTGATTGTAAAGTTGATTTGTTGCAGTTGAAGTTGCAATTGAAATAAAAATGTAGAACTGGAAAAATGCAGAGTTTTGTTCTGTGAAGTTTGATTGATAAGGTAGTGTGGATATGAAGTTTGATTTGCTGCAGTTGAAATGAAATTGCAGAACTGGAAAAATGCAGAACTTGTTTGTGAAGTTTGGTTGATAAGGTAGTATGGATGAAAAGCTTGATTTGCTGTAGTTGAACTGGAAAATAAGTTTGGTTGATAAGGTAGTGTGAACTGAAAAATGTAGAAAAGGAGGTTTAGTTTCAGAGGGGATGTTGGTCAAAGAACCAATGAGGTGAAAGGAAATGCTAAGAAAAGCTGGTAAAAGACTGCTGAAGCAACAGAAGCAGAGTGTCCAGTTTAAGAGGGGATGTTGGTCAAAGGACGAAAGTGCAAAAGAGCCAAAGTAGCAGGGGGAAAATGTAATTCTGCAAACGATGTCGTTTTATGTTTTATAATAAAAACAGTTGTAAAACGCAGCACTTTAGTCTTCTCTTACATTTTACTTGTATAAAAGAGTAAAGTTTAATCTTCACTGTATACAGAAAAAATAAGTTCGTCAGTAAAGAAGATTCAAACAATTTTCTCTCAATTCGTACTTGTTCACAAACCCTAAGCTAACCCTAAGCTAAATTCACAAGAAGAACTCACTCTAAAAAATTAGTTGAAAGAAAAAAGGAATTCAATCACATATATATATACAAACTATAACAATTCACCAACTTAATGACGTGGGAAGATTACAACTTATAACATGCTTAAAATGTTATAACAAATTGACCGCCGGTCAAATTATGTAATACACTCTAGAATTGAGGAAGATAAAACTAAGGTAGAGTTCCTTGGGTTGTACCTGAACCTGAAAACCTGTGCATGGATTAGACTTGCTGCTTTCAAAGTTTTGTTTTGTTGTTCTGTTGATTAACTTTGGTCGTGTGTTAAACTCTCATTTTTTATTTTCTGTTAGGAAAGGTGATGTTAAATACTTAATTATTTTTAGATAAAACAGTCCTCATCCAGGTATAACAACTTATAAGTAGAATGTATTGTATTTGGGGTGTGAACCCGTGACCGTGGCAAGACTTGCTTGACTTATTTTGTTTGACATAATGTGTTTATATTATGTGCTCCGAATTCGCACAAATTACAGTGCTTCATCATCAGCAACTGAATCATTCTGCAACTTGCTCTTGATAATTACAAGCATCAGCCATTATTGACTTCCATTTCAAGGATTTCTTAAACGTTAAAAAAAAAAAAAAAAGGGTAAAACAATAGTAAGTAATAAAGATAGGAATGACAAAGAAAGAATACAGATTAATTCCATCATCCCAAATACTTCAAATAGTTATTACAAATAAAAAATTAAAAGTTCCAAACACTCAAAAGCTAAAGTAATTTTTTTGTAAAATAAANCATTTTTCCGATGAGTGGCAGCTTCCATGGCCCTGCCGGTGGTAAGCTTGAACTTTATTTTGCATTTGGATCGTTTCCCTATCTTTATTACCATTACAATGAATATAAAGATCATATATATGTATATATAGAAAAGAAAATGAAATTAACATTTTCATTATGTAATAAGTGCTAGGAAAATTTTGGGAGCAAGCTTCACTGGTGAGCAAGCCAAGGAATGAGTTTGAAAGGACCTAGCTTATAAAATGAAGAGGAAGATGGAGAGACATACTGTATTGTATTAAACAATGTACAAACTGAAACAATCTAGAGTAATACGAAATCAAAAACAGTAAACACACACAAGTAAAGAGAAAGAAGAATAAGCGCAATTTACCCTAGTTCACCTAATTTACAGACTACGATTAACAAAGCCAATATTATTATAAAATTGTCTCACCTCTCTCATTATAATGACTATAATTTGTCATATGATTTGTTATCATATTCATACAAGAGAAAAATAACTTAATATAATAGATATAAAGAGTAAAACCTAGTAGTACAATGATTTATTTTCCTAGGCTCAAACCCAATTAAGAATTAATTACTTAGAGAAATCCTATAATGGTTCTTCATGGAATAGGCCCAAACCACATATGGGCCCTAAACCCCTAATGCGTTTGCATGATCTCTTATTGTTGAAGTAGTCGACAACTCAAACATAAATCTCCACAGCTTCATCAATTTATATAATCTCCTATTATGCAATTTTGCTCTTGTTTTCTATTAGATATTAATTCTTATTAAAAGAAGTTACACACTTTTTTTCCTTATAATAGATATCTTCTAGATCATCTTAAATATTTGGTACGAGCAAAAAAGCATAAATTCTTAGCCTATATGTGTTTTGTTTACTTGAAACTAAAGTGTTTTCAAAAATACATAATAAGCCTAAATAGTTCCATGAAACTATTCATCTGGCTGTGAGTGAAGTTAATAAAAATTTATTACTTCATACTCTATTAGAAAATCGGTTTAAAGCTAAGGGGAACAGTCGTCGTTTTACACTACTAAACATGTCGTTTTGAAGGAACAATGACAAAGTAAACAGTGTCAGTCGCGTGTCAAGTAAGCTGGTCGTTTTATGGAAAGATGAAAGACGCATGCTTTATTATTGTAACATTACACCACTGTGCACAATCAGGGGATGGTCATGGGAGAAATTCTAGATCAAAGATAGTTAAAACTAGTATATATATCAGTTGTTTTGTATTTTCAATATTTGTTATATACTTCAAATAAGCTCAAGATATCCATTTGTCATATATTAATAAGAGAGGCATAACTTCAGCCGAGAATGATGGAATTGATCAGTAACTAAAACTTAATGAGCAAACCAAAGGAGTGAGCTTGGAAGGATCTAGCTTATCAAATGAAGAGGAATATGGAAGGATATGATTAACTATATTGAGCAAGGTACATAGTTCGGTTACACTCTTCATGCTTAGTGCAATATAAATAATCATTAAATTAAGAATATATAAAATTTCTCCAATTAGCCAACAGGCTGAGGGAGATGAGGAATTGGAACCAAGATTAGGTCATCTTTTCTTCCCACTGTAAGACCAAAAACGTCAGTCATGTCAAGATCTTCATTCTTTTGTCCATTGGGAAGTTTCCAATCAAAATGATATAGCAAATGGGCAAGTGGAAGCTCCACATTGGCTATAGCGAATCCTATGCCAGGACAAACTCTCCTTCCAGCTCCAAATGGGATGAACTCAAGATTAGGCGCCCCTTTGTAGTCAAATCCATTTTCAATAAATCTCTCAGGATTAAACTTCTCAGCTTCGCTCCAGTAATTTGGATCCCTCCCTATCGCCCACGAATTTACTAAAACTCTGGTCTTCACAGGTATTTCATATCCGAATATCTCACAACTTTTCCTACATTCTCTTGGAAGTAACAAAGCAGCAGCTGGGTGTAACCGCATAGATTCCTTGATTACTGCCTTCAAATATTTTAATTCATGAAGGCCGTCTTCATCAACTGTTCCTTTCATTCGAAACACATTTCTTAATTCTGCTTGTGCTTTTGCCATCACACTTGGATTTTTTATCAATTCAGACATTGTCCATTCCACAGTTGAAGCTGATGTATCACTCCCAGCGGTAAAAATGTCCTGAAGAAGTTAGAAATATGGTCAATTATAATTCAGAAACAAATGATCCGAAACATATGATTATGCTGAAACTGATGTGAAAAGAAGATAGAAACACTAACCACGATAACTGCTTTGATGTTGTCATTGCTTAAGGTAAATTCATGGTCTCCATTCTTTTGAGCTTCCAAAAGAAGATCTAACAGATCTTTGTGATCCTCTTCATCCTCATCTTTCTTCATGGCTGGCTTTTTATTTTTATGCTCATTAATCATTTCATCAAACATTCCATCAACTTTGCGATGAATCGCTTCAAGTCTCCTCTTTGCCCCACTGATATAGTCAATATATTTGAAGGAAGGAAACATATCAGCCACAGTGAAACCTCCACCCACCTCTAAACCTTCTTCAATGGCATCCAAGAACGCCTTTTGATCTTTCATTATTTCACCAAACGCCGATCTCGTTGTGATGTCAAACATCATTGAAAAAATTCCCTTGCTAATATTGATCGTTCCTTTAGCTCTTGAAGAACACAAACTAACGAATTTTGATACCTCCTCTTCCCGGATTCCTCTGAAAGATTGCACAGATTTGGGAGTCATAAGCTGAGTAATGCACATCTTTCGTAGCTGTTGCCAGTAGTTTCCGTATGGTGAAAACACAACATCTGTGCAACCATAAGCTACAACATCTGCACAAAGAAGAGGAGGCCTTTGAGCGAAGTTAATATCATTATTTTTCAGCACTTCTCTAGCGGCTTCAGGCGTAGAAACAATAAGAGTTGGAATTTCGCCGAGCTGTAAGTGCATAAGAGGACCATGTTTTTTCGCCAGGTCTCTTAGCCTGTGATGAGGCTCACAATTAATGAAGTGGTGCATGTTTCCAATAATTGGAAGCTTCCATGGCCCCGGTGGTAATATTGATTTCTTGGTTATGGAATTCTTCAATGCAATGAAGGTGAAGAATAAAATGGAAAGTGGGATCAGAAAATAGGGGTTTTGGAGCTCCATGAGAGTTGGAAAATGATGATCGATGTAGAGATATTGAGAGGTTTCACGACTTTGTTGTTGGGTCACACTATAGATGTATCAGTTATTTATACACTTTATTTGGAGTTAATAACATTAACCTAGGTTAGATAAAATATAAATATTCTCCTGATATTTAAGAAATAACAGAAATTCTTTTACTGTCAAATCATTTCATTTATTAAAATAATCGATAAAACGGCAATTTGACAATATTCACTAACTTATAACATAATAATTTTAACAGCTTACTAACAATTCATTAACAGCAATGGATGTTTTGTCCTTTAAAAAACTATAAAGGGATTTTATTGTTATATCATATTCAAGGGGTTTATATCTTTTTAACCCGTTTATTAGTGTCATGTTATTAATACAAGTTATTTGTTTTTTAATAATAATTTTTTGTTTAACGTAGAGATGATTTTTGTTTACCATAGAGAACGGATTTTTTTCAACTAGATTTTAATTTTATAATCAATGAATTTGTCGTTTGTACAGTTGGAGTACTAACATAAAATATTTAAGTAGATTTAAAAATTAATTAAGAAGGATGAACTTTTAAGCTTCTCCTGTAAACATCAAACCACTTTTTTCATAATCACTCAAGGTCAGCCTAAGCATAAATTATGGTTAAAGGGTTTGTCATCCAGTCACAAGAAGAATCTGCTTAATAGGTCAAAACTACGAATCGATATCTTACATTACTCCTTTCTTGGGTGCCTCCGCCACTGAATACAAGCTGAATGTATCCTATATTATCGGCTTATAACATATTTAATCTAGATTAATGGATTATTAAATTAGCCATGTGTTCTTGTGTATTGAACTTCCAATTATTGGTAATTGGTGAAGCAAAAAATAATATTATTTGTACAAACTCGCTCTGTAAAGATCTCTATCTTAAAATTTACCTATTGAGTATCCTAAAAGGTTGATGCAAGCTCAATGTATTCTATATTACTCTTTCTTTGAAGGGTGCCAGTTATACTATCAAAAAAAAAATACCAATTTCACCAATACAAATTCTATCATGCCATTCATATTATTTTAAGTAATAATATTGAATGATTTTTTTTTATTATATCCTGTAAATCTTGTGACACAATGAAAGATATTAAATTAAATATAATCTTTTTTCGTAGATTGTAATGTAATCGTTTTTAACATAAAAAAATTTAAGAATGTGATCCATGCTTACACAACCTAAATTAATGGTCATGCAAATTATCTAGTTTCCAAGAGAAATATTGACCCAGAATTTCAACAAAGAATATGCTCTCTAATTAAATAGATTAGAATATAATGGTTCCAAATTTCACTCTATGGATATTGACTTGACTCCCAAGGAGAGGACGTTGCACCTTAATCTAATAAGTCTTTCCACATGCTAACTCTGAATAAAAGCACCAATATTAGAACTGAAACTGAAAGGAGAGCTCAACTCAAAAGACCTGCTTGATAGGTGAGCGAACCCCCAAGCTTAAGTACTATACTTGGTGGGTGTTAGATCCTAATGTGTGATCTTATTGAACATTGCTGAAAAATAATAAAGGATTCTTTATTTTGCAACGCCTTCGCAAACCATTTATTAGTATAAAAAAAAAAAAATGCAGTTGATTCTACTCAAAGGGAAGATCAAAGAAATATAGCAATTGGCTTAGGTTGAAGATGCGCATTGGGCTATAATATGGATACTTTTCAGCTCCAAGTGGAATAAATTCAAAATCAGAGATTTTTCAAGTATAGAGGTCTGCAATGATTAGAAAAAATTGTCACCTTAACTTCTTTCAGAAAGTAAAAAGTATGTTTAACATAGAGAATTTATAGGAGCTTTTAAATTCTGAGAGTTTTCTGATAAACTCTCCGAAGTTTACTCCATAAACTGCTGAATTTGAAGAAATTTGAAGCCATGAAACAATCCTCAACAGTGAAATAAAACCTCCTGTCAAGTTTACACTTTCAAGAACAACAGATGAATGTGATCTCTTCAGGATCTTTCAAGTTTTCACCGAAGGCTGCTCTACCAACTGTAAAAGAATCTTTTAAGACAGATTGTAAGTGACACCTTTCTCTTTTTTTGTTTTGTTGTAAATTTACCATACTATAAGAAACCCTTCTCTGCGAAATCTTTTTTTCATTCCAAAATTTGTTCCAAGTTGCTTCGAATGAATTCAGCTTGTGGGAATTCTTTTTCTATTTTGTTCATTTTCTTCTAATAACAAGAATTTTTCATGTAACAACAATAATTATAAGTTAACTGTAACACCCCGGCCCAACACTCTCAAGATATTATCCGTTTGGACAGCCAGGGTAGCCCGACTCCAAAACTCAACTTCTCATAGTTTTATTTTCAAGCCCAAGAACTCTTACTTAAGGGCAACCCTCTCCTTCCCAAGTGATGTGAGATGTTGTTTTCAGGCCTAACAACCCTTGTTTAAACCCAAAAAGTGTATACAAGAATCTTCTAAAATATTCATGAGATAACTCTCGTAAGGTTTAATAATTTAGGAAAATTACATGGATTTAACCTAAGTTTAGAGAAAAATAATAATAATAATAATAATCATCCTTCATATGTTTTAATAACTAACAATTATATAATGGTTAGTGTAGATGCAAAAAATCTACCATTATGGAAATAGGGTTTGATCCCATGAGGTTGAGACCACTAACAATCTAGTGGACTTGCACACACGAAAAGACAAACGTGAAGTTTACGAAAAACATCGGGGTGGTATTTGCCGTAGACAATCCGACGCTCAAGTCAACAAGGTTGAAAGAGATAATTTAATAAGAATTAGGGAAAGAAATATTACAAAGAGTCTTGTCGGAGGCCAGGACCACGCCGAAGATGTAGAATTCTCGGGAGCAAGAATTTAGGAGAAAAGAGGTGATTTGAGTAGTCAAGATTGAATATTCGAGATCGCCTTATGAGAGGGCAGACTTCTGTTTATATAGTGAACCCAAGGGGTTAGAATCCTAGTAGGACACTAAGTTCTACTTTGGGAGATAATCACTATCAAGAAATAAATAGAATTTCTTGCCTTTATCAGATTAAATTTACTAATTTCGGTAAGATTCAGGATCTTAACAAAAGAGGAAATAGAATGTGATTCTGATTTCTTATTTATGGACTGTTATAGGCTAATGGACCAGTAACTTAATTTAGCTTAACTCGTAGGATAGCCCAACTCATAAAGTGGGCAGTTCACAAGGCAATTTTAAACGTAGGCCCAATCGAGATTAGGTTAAGACCTTGGGTCGTGACATATTTATTTAATTATTGAGCCTCGTTAGGTCCAAGACGATTTTTTGCCCATACAATTAGCTTAACAAATGTGAAATCAAAATTAGACACCATTCAACTAATCATTAGCTTAAACAAAATGCACAATTAAAATTAGCAACTAATTGTCCATCCCTTAATTCGCATATTAAAAATTCAATATTCCAAACCGATTAATGATTTTATATAAATAATACAGAGAGGTCGTAGCTTAGTTGATATTACCTTCATACCATTAAAGTTTGTAAGTTTTTATTCCCGTAGACATCAACTCTTATTACAATAAGTCACAAACTTCGTTCCCTTAGTGATATCTTCTAGATCATCTTCAAAAATACTTAGTATAAGCAACAATACATAACTTAAGTCATTAACTTCAAGGTCACAAGAGACTAGTTGAAGTGCACATACGTTAGTCCAAACATCCTTGAATACCGAAAAAAAAAAAAAAAAAACAACAACACATTACTTCTAAAGAGAATCATAATGCATTTTTATCATAGCATATAATTTCTCCTATCAGCCAACAGGGTGAGGATGATACGGACTTTGGAACCAATTTCAGGTCATTTTTTCTTCCCACAGTAGCACCAAAAGCCTCAATCATGTCAAGATCCTCTAGCTTTTCGCATTGGGAAGTTTCCAATCGAAATGATATAGCAACTGGGCAAGTGGCAGCTCCATATTGGCTACGGCAAATCCTATGCCAGCACAAATTCTACTCCCACCTCCAAATGGGATGAATTCAAAATTAGCCCCCTTTTAATCAATTGAACTCTCAAGAAATCTCTCAGGATAGAACTTCTCAGCTTGGCTCCAATGTTTGGCAGGTATTTCATATGCGAAAAGCGCACAGCTTTTCCTACATTCCCTTGGAAGCAAGGGACCAGCAGGGCGTAATCTGATAACTTCTTTGATTACTGCCTTCAAATATTTCAATTCATGAAGCCTTTCTTCAGCAACTTTTCCTTTCATACCGAAGACGTCCTCACCTCTGCTTGTGCTTTTACCATGACACTTGGATTTTTAATGAACTCTGATAGTGATGGCAATGGGCCGGACCGAGACTAGGTACCCCTTGGTCCAGGCCCAAATCCAACCTCATGACAAAGGTCCAGCCCGGTCTAAGCCTGTCACAGGTATGACAGGTAAAGTTCAAGCCCGGCCTAACAGGTTTTTTATAACCTCATATCTGACCCAAGCCTACCCCTTTTTATATTGTAAATTTTTAAATATTAATAAATTTTAATTATTTTATATTTTTAATTCTAGAAACAGTTTTTAAATATTAATTTATTTTTTGAATACTCACCAAATAGGATGAGATGATGGTTTGAAAAAAAATGGTAGATATATGTAAAATAATATTGTAATTAAATATATAGTATAAGAGTAATTTAATAAAATTAATACTAAAATTATTGAATTAAGCTGGGTCGGGCTAGAAGATATACCCAAATTCAACCCGTATCCGAGATTGAGCTTTAAAAACAAGCCCAAACCGGCTAATACTAAGTAAAGTTTGACCTTTTCAGGAGGGTGTAATCTGAAAATATCAAAC